ACTCCCGTCCCGCCGCGACCCCCGCCCCAGCCCTCACCTGCAGCAGCTTCAGCGCCACCAGCTTGAAGCCCTTCCTCTCGAAGCGCCGTACGATCTCGCCCACGAGCCGTCGCTGCACGCCGTCCGGCTTCACGGCCAGAAAGGTGCGCTCATGCACGCTGGGGAGGGCTACGGGACCCGCGGGGCCGCACGCGTCAGGCCCGGCCAAAGTCCCTCCCCACTCCGTCCGGCCCTGCCCGACCCCCGGCCCTAGTCGCGCGGCTCACCCGCCGGGAAGAGGTTAGCGAAGATGGTCAGCAACAAACAGATCATGGCGGCGGCAGCTCGAGCTGAGCGTAGACTGACGGGGAGGAGGGCCGGGGCGGGGCCTGTATTTAAAGGGTCCGCGGCCCGACCTCCCCCACCCCCTTCCTTAGTTTTCGGTTGCCTGTTGCGGCTGCCTCGGTGGATGCGGCAAGGAGGGTTGGGACTGGGGGAACGCAGGCGATGCAGTGAGGCCGTGCCTGTCTTCCACGCCCACCCTAGGACCCCTGCGGAATGGGGTCCTGAGGCCCTACGACAGCCGCGTCTGTGTCCCCCCAATTCGCTCAAGTCTATCCACAGGGCCAGATTAACCACGTTGTCAGCCTTTTTCACCCCACACCCCAGCAGACAACTCGCCATAGTCCCCCAAACCCAAACTCGAAGAGACCACACCCCAGGGCTGCTTCCTTTGCCTTTATTCGCGTTCACAGTTTCTGCCAGGGGCCCGGCTGAGGCAACACGTGATGGGGAAGGGGTTGCCAGCCTGGAAGTGACAGGTGCCACCCGCTGGCCCCGCTGCTTTCAGCTTTCCCCTAGCAGCCGTCTCCTGCGTTGCCCCTTCAGTCAGATCTGGGAGCTGGGACAACAGGGACAAAAAAGACAGGTGTAGGGTCTGGCACCACCCACTTTCTTTCCTTGTTCAGAACAAGTCATGGAGGTCGGATCCAGGCTCCCAGGGAGCTGATTCAGGTGTAACTCAAAAGATTTAGTTTCATCAAAATTGTGCCCAGCATCTTAACACCCTTTAGGCAGGCTGCCGGTTCCGACATTTTAGACTGGAGTGCCCTTGGCCTTTCTCTTTGTCACTTGTTTCCCAGGGTAATCCCAAGGAGCTATGTGTGTTCTCTCCAGATTCAGCATGGGCTCCTCCATACTGGTGTCCCCATTTTTCTGTCGCTCTGCTAGAATCATAGCCCGGAGTAGCGGTGGGTAGGGCACAGAGCGAAAAGTATCCTCGGACACTGGCGTGAAAGCGGTGAAGGTCTCCTCCTCGTGCTTGGGCACAAGCCGCCAGTCGTGGTACATGACCTGTTCGATCTCCCGGGCCTCGCTCTCCGTCTTTCCT